TCCTGCCTAGGCAGGAGGTTGGACTAGAAGACCTCCAAGGTCCCTTCCAACTCTGCTATTGTATTAAGTATGGTGGTATTTCTTTTGGCGGAAGCTAAATCACATTTAAAAAATAAGTAACTGGTTCCTCTCCATGGAAGCCTTACTCTGTGCAAGTCCTGGGACCTTCTCTTTGTGCAAATGCAGTTCTGAAAACTCAAGTGTTACTGGTCATGTGCTGATCACCATTCCTTAAAAGAGGTCATATAATAAGTTTTGGCATATTTTGAATTAGCAGTGGTGCAACTACTAATTGGCCTTTGGGCAGAAACTTGTTTCCTACCACTAAATGGCAGGAAACTGTGGTGAGATGAGTCTTTACTCTGGCTCATCGGGGAAGGATGCCCCTTTCTTCTTAATTCATAAATTAGTTCTTCATCAGGGACAGCTTGCTAGGCAGGATCATAGTAAACAGGTTCCGAGGTTGTGGTTTTCCTTTTACAATATATTTCTTTTCCAAAACAAACTTGATGTTCATTTATCCGAAGGTGCAAAAAGAACAAGAAGCTGTTCTAGTCTGGACCAATTACTCACTAACAGAAGTGACAGTTGCCTAGAATGTGGAGAGAATTGATTGTGTTGTTCTTGAATCTATAGTAACCAAAGGAAGAGAAAGAAGAGTAGCATACTAGATGTGAAAAGACCAAATGTTGGTGAACTCCAAGGACAGATAAGTGGCTTATCACAGCTTCAATTCCTTAAGAAAAAAAATGTCCAGGAAGAGTTGGAAATCTTACAAGATTGGATGGGATGAAGCTGCAAACAATCCCTACAAGGAAAAAATAAAAGAAATCTAAGAATGCCAGCTCTCCAAAATTGATTATGTACCATCATGTTGATGCCAATTTAGGCGCCACATATATTTTCTCCTTAAAGAGTCCAGTAATCTAAAATGCTGATCATGAGGAAGAATAACACGGGAGGGCGGGGGATTGAAGAAGAAGATGGACTAGGTACCGTTCAGAAATAGTAGGAACTGTATCAGAAAGGCTAAAATCAAGAACGTGTTGAGGCTTGCAAGAAATGAAAAAGAAAAAGAAAAACCAGCAAGATTTGGCGGGGGCATAGAATGTAAAGAAAAGTGAGTATGGGAGTCATTGTAAGGAGAAAGTAGTGAAGTAGTTATGGATATTGGTTGGAATAAAGAAGTTCCTAACTTATATTTCCAATTTGTTTTCTCTCAGAAGGAAATGTCATAACTGTAACACTAGAACAGAAATAAACCAGAGCTTAGGATAGACAAGGAGACAATGCAGCTAATTCCATAGCCAGATAAATTACATCCCAAAGAGGCAGTTTGGTCTAATGGTTAAGGCACCAGGCAAAGAAAGCAGGAGACCATGAGTTCAAATCCCACCCTAGGCATGAAAGTCAGCTGGGTGATTATGGGCTAGGCACTCTCCCTCTCAGCCCTGTTGTTTTAAGGAAAATAAATAAATAAATAAATCTTGGTAATGTTTGAAAACTCTTAGAGGACTGGTGACATCGCAGAAAACGAAGAGAAATAAGTGTTATTATTGTTGTCTCACAAGGCTGTAAAAGCCATAAGAAACAACAGCCCTACAGCTCCAGGAGTGGAGAATACAAACATGATTTTAAATATTATTTCCTTTTTTTTAAATGCAGCTGATAAAGCAAGAGAATGAAGGGGGGAGATATTATATACCACATTTTGGCATGATTTCATGCTTAAAATGCAATGAGTATTTTGTAAATGCCCCAAATGCTAAGTGTTCTTTTGGCAAAATAAAAACAAAAACCAGTCATCTTCAATGTCCCTCTGAATATTGCTAAATCAGCACTCATGACTTTATGCATATTTATTCATAAAATATTTCAAGACAGACTTGCGGCCCACTTCCAGCAGCCCCAGCCAGCATGAGGGATGTTAGGAGTTGGAGTTTAATAATATTTGGAAGACCCTGGTTTAAAGGGCTTTCTATCTTGTGCCGTACTGCAGCTTCAGAATTCGTTCTTGAGCAAGTTCACATCCAATACTAAGCCATAATGTAATTAAATTAGTTTTGAGTTTGTGTGATAGATGAACCCAGCCATTATTATTAGAAAAGCAAAGTGTATGTTTAATATATGGCTGCCTGTTTTATAAACAATAACCCTAGGCAATTCACACACACAAACAAAAACAAATCTAGCAATAAAACAATTGTATCATCCAGATTTGAAGCAGCACTCTCCATAAGTTTCTCCACAAGGTGTGTCCAACCTTCTGGTTTGTCTGGGCCACATTGAATGAAGAGGAATTGTCTTGGGAAACATATAAATATATCTAATATAGATAAATATAAAAATCACATAATGATGTTAAAAATTTATGATCTTGTGGGCCTGCATTTCTAGCTATCTAGGTCTGTGGATTGGACACGCCTGATTTAGT